GCAAGGAATATAAACCCTTCCATTGTCCACTCCACTCCCATTCAATAGGAACCGAAGAAGCTTCCTAGATGAGAAACAAAATGTCTTCAACGAAAAAGCACCTTTGGGATAGTCACTTGTCCAACTTTATCTCCCACTCCCATTCCCCTCAGTGCTTCTTAATCTCTTCTCTTGTAGAATGATAAAGATGCTTGTTCCATGATTAGTGGAACAGAGGGCACAAATTAGGAAAGTTGCAGGACAGAAAAGCTGAGGTTTCATCCATATTTGCAACAGTTGGATTGTTGCAGAAAGAAATCCCTTTGATACTCTTTTTGCCCTGAGCGCTGAGGCTCCCTATCTGGAGAAAAAAAAAATGTTTTCCCATTTCCCATTTTATTTTAGCTATCTCTTTTTAGTATCTTCTCTGGCTTATCTTCTCGAGGATTTTTGATCTACACAGACAATGGAATGACATTCTGAACTGTGATGGGGAATGAAGGGTATTCTCCCACCTTAGCTGTAAAACTGCTTAGATCCATTAAGGAATAAAGCAGTGGTGGGATCCTCCCGGTTTAACAACCGGTTCAGTGATCACGCGATTTGCTGTGCGCGCATGTGCAGTTTGAAGGAATCCTCACTTCTGGGTTTCTTTGGAGGTGTAACACAGCTGCTTCACGTGGCAATTTGCTCTGCTGCGCGAATCCGCTGAGAAGATAAAGAGGAAAATAGCGCAAGACGGGCAGGTGGGCCCATCTGATCATCTGGGTGAACCAGTTCATTCCCAGCTGATTGCCGGAGCTACCAGTTCGCCTGAACTGGTAGAATCCCCCCCCCACACACCCTGGAATAAGTATATTGTGCTATAATCATTTAAAATAGAAAACATGGGAAGGGAGGAAGAAATAATTGAGTTGAACGGAGGCAGCCCAATTAGAATTACCTCTGAAAAAATGGACAGCCTTTGGCTACTTGTATGCCTTGAGGAACAGTTGAATTGTTTGAGGATATTTGCCCTTCTGGGGTGTCAGCTGGCTCTCATTTATGCAACTGTTGTCCCGTTCTTGTAGATTCCATCCTTAGGAAAACATTACTCCCAGCGCTGGGCCCAGGAAGACCTGCTGGAAGAGCAGAAGGATGGGGCTCGGGCTGCAGCTACTGCGGATAAGAAGAAAGGCATCTTGGGACCTCTGACCGAACTGGACACTAAGGGTATCCTGAGCTATTCTGTGACACCTTTCCCAGAAATAGAAGAGACTAAAGATGCCATTTTACTAGAAAGCTCTGTTAGTTTACTTGCAGAATCCATGCTTTGCAAGTAGTCCTCACTTGATAAAACCAATTAGTGGAATTTCCATTGTGATGTGATGCCGTCATAAATTATGATGTCAGATATCCATGCCACTTAGCAATGGCAGTTAGTAGTTATTATCATTAAGCAAATGAGCAGGGTCACTAAGCATTTGACATAACCATGGCCTCTCAATTTCCTGCTGGCTTCCTCATTGACTTTGCTTGTGGAAAGCTGGCAGGGAAGGTCACAAATCACGATTATGTAAAACTGCAGAATGCTGCCGTTGGAAAGCCAGGCTGGTTGCTAAGTGCCTGGATTATGATCATATGAGTGTGGGAGCACTACAACTTTTGGAACTTTGAAGACTGATAGTAAGAACCACCCATTAGGTGCTGTTGTAAGTTCAAACACTTGCTGAACAAGTAATAATTAACCAAGAATCACCTGTGTAGGGAGAATTGGGAAATTGGCAGCCCTATTGTCAACTTCACTCTTTGCTTCTGAGAGCTATCATTTAGCAAAAACTGAAAAAAAAACAGATTTCTTTATCTTTGCTTTATGTGTTTATTAGCTCCAGACCAGTGTTTCTCAAACTTGACTTTTAACTTTTAAGATGTCTGAACTTCAACTCCCAGAATTCCTGATGTTGAAATGAAACCTGATTGACATTAGAGGTTTATAGACTGGAACCGGCTGTGTCGGTTCCTTACAATTTAGCATAGTATGTCAAATAAAGTCTGTCCCTTCCAATTTGTGGAAGGTTTAATTTCCTTCATTTTGAATAAGACAGAGAGAATCCCAGAATTGCTCACTGCAAAGTGTCACATTATTGCAAGTGATATTGACTCGTTCTTCCTAGTTCTCAACTGCTCCTTCATTCCCTCCTCTCCAGATGTTGATGCTTTGTTGAAGAAATCAGAGTCCCAGCATGAACAGCCAGAGGATGGGTGCCCTTTTGGACCTCTCACCCAGCGCCTCCTGCAGGCACTTGTAGAAGTAAGGAATATTTAAAAAAAACAAAAACCAGCTGGCTTCTTCAGCTCCAGCAGGCTCAGATTTTCTAGGGGAGGACCTATTGAAAAGATTTACCTTGGTCTCTGCTCCTTTTCTCTCCAGCCAATCAGATCAGAATAGAGCTGGGAGGAACCTTGGAGATCTTCTAGTCCAGCCCCCTGCTCAAGCAGAAGACTCTATACCAGGGGTGTCAAACTCTATTTCATTGAGGGCTGCATCAGGGTTGTGTTTGACCTTGGGGGGGCCGTGTGGATGTGACCAGCTCAATATCACTCGTGTCGGGGGGGGGCACTTCTGGTGGTCCTGGCAGGGCTGGGAGGGGGCATCCACTTTTGCTAGTAGTTTGTTTTCCTAGCACTCTGCCAGCAAAAACGGAGCTCAGGGGCCCCATGTGCCTTCCATCCCCCTGGGGCTCCATTTTCAGCTGTGACAGCCATCTGCCAGCGGAAAGGGCCACCATGCGCAGCCCTCCCGAGCTCTGTTTAAGCTTGCAGAAGCACCCTGGGCTGGTCCTTCGCTGTTTCCAGGTTGACCCCTGTGAGTTTGACACTCATGCTCTATACCATTTCAGATAAGTGGCTGCCAAGTCTCTTCTTTAAAAATCCCAATTGTCAACCCAGTGATGAAGCACCCACAACCTCTGACAGCAAGCTGTTCCACTGGTTAATTGTTTTCACTGTTAGGAAGTTTCTCTTTAATTCCAGGTTGCTCCCCTCCTTTGATTAGTTTCCATCCATTCTTTCTTGTCCTGCCCTTTGGTGCTTTGGAAAATAGGTTGACCCCCTTCTCTCTGTGGGAGCCCATCAAATACTGGAATACTGTAATCATGTCCACCCCTAGTCTTTTTCTCTGTATACTGGCCATAACCAAATCAATCAACCAAATATAATCCTCACAATTCACCTCTCTCTCTCTCTCTCTC